CCCGAAAGGTTAGGACCGCAGGTGCTGCCGGAACAACACTTGCCGCTGTTAGTGTAGGGGGCGCCCTTCTCAAGTATGGAAGCGATGGTCACCGAGTCCGACGCAGAGAAGTAAAGAATTTCCGCGCAAGCCGTTTGCTCCACGCTCAGCACGGGCCCCGAAATAATATCCTCCACCAGCACCCGTCCCCACAAAAAACCCAGATCCGAGCTCTATTAATGGTCCTCCGGCGTTACCGGGGCGAGCACCAAATTTTAAAAATTTCTTTGGCCCCCCCCCCCCCCCCCCCCCCCCCGCCCCCATCAGCACACACACGCAAGGGGTGATGCGAACTTACCGCTCCCCCCAGTCCCTCTTCCCCCTCCTCCGCCGGCTGTTCGTGGTCCAGCAAAATGCCCCCCTCGGACAGCACGAGGTCGAACGCCGTCTGCCCGTGAAGGATAGCCCCGTGGTGCTGACGATACCTGTCCTTGAGCCCGGCCAAGCACTTCTCCTCTCGCTCCTGCTTTGTTTGTATACGGCCATGCGCACACGCGAGTTGGCAGCGACCGTCGGACAAAGCATCGCAACGACAGGTACACAGCAGTTGTAGCAGCAAGCATTCAACACTTGGCACCTAGCTGAAAAAAAAAACCGGTGCAACAACCAAGCGTTCGTGCAGGCTGGAATCGAGGGGGGAATCTGGACGTACCCCGGCATTGCCAAGGCAGGGTGTAGTGAGCGAGCACTAACCTCAGAGAACAATCTCGAACACCGCTGCTGTGACACACCAATCTGTTTCCAGCGGGCGAGGAGACAACCACTAACCACAGCAAGAACTGCGGAGAGGAGAACCCCCGTCTCTGCAGATCACTCTTGGAAGCGTTTGGAAGGCCGCGAGTGTTCCTATGTACAACGGTTTTTTGGCTACAGAGTCAAATCGCCGGTAGGCGTACAGATACAAACGTCCTTTTGAGGGGAGGGGGGTGTACTCATAGTCGTGCATGCCGTAGTCGTTTGACCATTGACCTCGCATCCTTACAAAGCCGGGACGGAGCACGCCGGGTTCTCACCGGACCAGGCTCTCGCATCACCAAGCGCGAAGCGCCGTGAGGTATTTGACGAGTCGCATGAAGGGTGAGCTGCATCCTGCTAAGGGTGTTCGGCATCTTGTGCTTACTTCCTTGCGTACGGATGACAGCTACGTATGACTTAATTTATTTTCTGGTGCTTTCACTTCCAGAGACAGTTATAAACACTGTGTAGCTGCCTCGAGGATGCTTGACCATTTTAACACAAAAAAAAGAGGGGAGGGGGGGGGGGGGGGGCTACGGCGACCCGACTCTGGTGACATCTAGCAACGCGTCGCAATAACTACCTCGGCGGGCCGAACACCCAGGGTACCGTCCACCGTTGTACGCAAAATACAGTAGTGTTTAAGCTTAACTCGACAAACAGCGCCAAGCACGTAAGCCCATCGCACGCCCACAAACCGCCGTCTTGTGCCTTTTCCTCAACAACGCGCATTTGGCGGTCCCACCCGCCGACTAAAGGTCTTTATTATGGTGAATATTTTATGACTGCTCTACCTTGTAGTCCAGGGCAGTTTCCAGCGTACTCTGCAACACGTTCTCGCTTTGCCTCTTCTCCATCTCCTTTCTCTCCTTTAGCGCCTGTCGTACAGAACGAAGCCATACAGCACAACACGACGTCCGGGTATATGTTCATGTCAAAACGCTTGGTAGGGCTGCAAGAACGCATACATTAGTTTCATGCCATTCCAAAGCACCACGACTGCTGGGTGACATACCTCCTTCGTCCCGTCTTGCTACGACAACGTTGTTCTCGTTGATGTCGCAAATTCAAGCGTCAACTTTGTTGATGTTGATGCTTTGCCAACGTACGAGACAAAGCTCTCCACATTCCACCTCCTCCTCTCTCCGCCAACCCAACCAACACGTGTAGACCGCCAAATTCAAACCTCGATCTGCACCCGCAGCACGTCCGAGCTGGCCTTGTTCTCCGCCGCCACCCTGTCCAGTCTCTCCGCCGAGCCGTTCTGCGACTCGAGGCGTCTCTCCTCGTGCTCTGTCTCGCTCTTGCCGCCCGCCACCTGCTTGTCCAGGGCATACTTGCTCTTGTTGTAGGCCTCTTCCTTCCGCTTGACCTGATAATCGACACACAACAAGGTGACAGGGTCACAGGTATGGGGGGGAGGGGGGGCTCCGTCTCTAACCTTCCTCCGCACAATGCACCACAAGTGCATGAGTCACGAGTCACGTGAAAACTCCAAGCAACAGCAACAACGCCTCCGTCTCCTGTCGTACATTGAAGACAAAAAAAATGCGAGAAAGTCCACACACGCGATCTCGACGTTCTACGTCAAATTATTCACCGATGCACGTTGCATACAAGACCAAACCGATACGTTCACGAGCGTGTAGGCGGTACGACCCCGCCGGAAACTTTTCTAGAAGCGTCGGAAACATTTATCTAGAGCTGCAACACGGCCTAGACAGCCACATGGTCCCTTGCAAGAGCAAATTGATCCGTCGTTCTTGTTCCAGGAAAGAGGAGTGTGTTTGTGATACTACTGCCGTATGTTCTCTTGAGTCACAAATAGGAGAATGGGGGCACCAGGATCACATAACGCGGAGGATTCTGCTCGGCCCCAGACTAACGCAAACACGACGTCGTGTCCACGAACCGTGACCTAGTCCACACTATGGCTTGCCTGCTTGTGCAGCAGCTCCACCTCGCTCAGGACGTCGGTGATGTTCTCCTCCGCCTTGTCTTCCTCCACGAGCAAGTTCGATAGGTCCTGCCCGCGGAAAAAACAAGCGAAAAGAGGGCGTGTTTGAGCAAAACGGTTCCACACGAACGGTAGACGAAAGACAAAGAAACGTACAAGTATGTACAAACATGTGAAATACTCTTGAACTCGGGATTGGACGTTGTCATCCAATCTTCTCCGCGCCCCCCCTGCCAGCGGACTATAGATCGTGTTCGGTTTGCAGTTCTTATCCCCGTGTAAGGACTGGCACCTTTTTGTTTGGTCAGCCGTTTAGTGCCGTCGATGCAAACTAAAGTAAAACAACCACACACACATAACCTTGAGAAGAGTATTCTGTTAATATTGCTATAGTGCCACTGAGTCTGATGTCTTGTTTTCGGTCCGCCGGCTAGCGCGGTCGACCCCAATCAAAATCAAATACACACACACACAACAGCAACTAACGCACACACACACAACGCACGCACACCCACCTGCCGTAGCCCCGCGGTCCTTCGCACGATGGCAATCTTGAGCTCCTTCAGCGCGGGGCGGATGACCCCCCTGACGTCATTCGTCAACACGCCGTCCTCTTGGTCGAGCTTGGTGTCGTCGATGTCCACCGCGTAGTTCGTCTCTCCGGCGTTCTGCATCACCACAACACGTTCATATTTCGTCAATGACGAAGAAAAAAGAGAGAACGGGAGGCGTTCACAGAAATAACACTAAAACAAAGTTTGTTTCATGAACAGAGTAAGAAGAAAAAGAGAGGCATCACAGGATGACAACAACGACAGAAACAAAGAGGCTTCCAAATAACACCGAAGATTACATCGTTTTCATGAACCGGTGGCGAGAGACGGTGCCCGCCGTCGGATGCCCGTTCTTTGTGGAGCAAGCCAAGAGGTCTCGTCGATGGGAAAGAACGCGGTTCTGATTCTTGAATATTCCACTGCTCCGCGACGGGCGACCCCGCAGTCTTTTTCGTCGTTGTTCAAGAGGTAGACAGCAGTGTGGCCGGCGTTGCAGGAGTCAATTTTCGCTGTTGTGAAACGCCCCGCGTGCCAACGGACTTCAATGGCAACACCTGCCACAACCAGAATCACAATTGCCACAACAATAACAACAGCATCGCCAACAACAACAACAACAACCCGGGGTTTGAAACTAGGGGGGTCCCCCCCCCCCCCCCCCCCCCACTCACCTCTGCCGGCTGCGTGCCGAAGGGTACGAGCAGCAACGCCTCGGCCTGCTCCCTGTACCGGTGTAGGTTCTCCTTGAGCGCCTCCTTTGTGCTCGACACTTCAACCTGGGCTGACCACCCCTCCTGCAAGCAATGTAACGTCAACGACAGCAGTTAAGGGGTGCAACGTACGTGATTGGAGAAAAATAACGTGCTTGACAGGAAACGCGCATGGCATTTGCAAGAGGATGCGTAAGTCCCCGTTGCCATATCTGCAGCAGTACGTCAAGAAGGAAGGAGGCCGCCATTATCCATGGCCTGACCAGCCGGTCCTTTCCCTTTCTTCTTCGGCGGGAAACATCGACGGAGGCAACCAGTCCAGGCCGTAAAGCAACACCAAAGCGCAGCCAGAGCATATCCTGCAACAAAACCTCCATTCACCACCGACGACATAGCGCACACGCAGCAGCGACATCGCTGCCTACGCGCCGACTGTTCCAGCTCGCCTCAAAACGCAACGCACGCCTAATCAAGACAACACATTACATCACACCGTACTACATGACAGACACGTGGAGGCCCCGAAGTCAACCTACGTTGAATTCGTGTTCAGGTTTGCGTTTCTCATACGGCGCCACCGGCAAAAATAAGCTTCTATCGTAGAAAAAAGAAGCTTCGAAGCCCCTTCTGAGTGGCATTTCTTGACCAACGCTTACAATTTTCCGCATCAAAGTAAGCCCGATTGCCACAACAGCAACTCCAAAGCTGCGAGCACAGGAGTAGTGCTGCTCTTCCACAAACCTTGCGCGCTTTGACCTTGGCCTCTCCCGCGCCGGCCAGCGCGTCCCTCAGCCTGCTCCTCTCCGAGAGCTGGCCCTCCATGTCCGACGCGCTGAACTCCTGCGTCGCTATCTGCTCACGCAGCGATGCAGACGCTTCCTCCAAGAGAGGGAGGGGTTCCTAAAAGAAAAAACAAGGTCAACGACAATGAAAATTGTGTAATAAGACAGCACGGATGCATACAGGTCTTTTTGTCTATCTTCGTCGAAGATGAAGCCAGAACAGAGTATGGCATCATCTACAAACCGCTCAACCATTTCCCGCCGTTTGGAAGCAGCACAAACAAACGCCACCGTGGGAAATATCGCGCATGGCGCAAACAACAGGCAATGGGCCCTTCGCGCTTGCTCTACCGGGGGCAGGATAAAGCAAGATGAAACTTCTTTGACTACCGCAAACCCACGTTGTCTACCTGTGTCCTCACTCTCTCCCTCCCTCTCTCTCTCTCTCTCTCTCTCTCTCTCTCTCTCTCCTTGCCTCTACGTCCCTCTGCCCCTTGGCATCCCCTGCCTCTCCCGCCCCCTCCCTCCCACACCACGCACGCACCTTGAGCCTCCGCTCTTCCTCCACTCTCTTGTCCACCTTCTCCTGCAGCAAGCGCCTGTGCGTCTCGATCTCCTCCAAGAGAGAGGTGATCTTCTCGTTGTCGGAAAGCGTCAGCTTAAGCCCTTCCTCCAGTGCGGGCAGAGAATTCCCTTGGTCCAGCAGCTAAAACATCGTTCACACAGGGTTTTTCAAGCCGAAGGGAGTCGACCTTATCTTAGACACGCCGAACTAAGTCCAAAACAGTCTCATGCGGTCTATGTTAGTCGATACAAGTAGAAAATACTGGCACGTGAAAACGAGCGAAATCCGCAGCCAGATATTTGAGGGAGGGGTTGGTTGACGAACGTGAGATAACAAATGGCACACAAAATGTCAGTGCCAAGTTGGTGTGGCTTTAGCGAACACCCACTGGGAGAAAAACGAACTACTGCCGCCATCGTCCCGAAAACTCTACCACACGTATGCCAAGCGGCGCATACAGCACACGCGCGTGAAAACCCCCAAACCTGCCCAGGAACAAACAAACACACCTCTTGGTTGGTCTGCCCCAGGGCCTCGTTGGCCTCCTCGAGGTTCCGTAGGAACTCCTCGGCCCCGGCGTCCTCCTCGTCGCGCGCCTCCGTGTACTCCGTGGTAACGGCCTGATGGGCCTCGTCGTCTCCCTCGAGGAAGCAGCAGTAGGCCTCTTCCAGGTAGGCCACGAAGTTCTTCTGGTCTGCGCCCTGAAGGCCGCGGCAGCAGTAGGCAGGATGAGACACAGCGGCGGGTGTGTGGGTGGGAGGGATCATGCACAGGCCCCTTCCGCTTAAATCCGCGAAGCCACAGCAAGATAATTAAGTGGCACAGACCGAAAGGCAGGTGGATAAACTTCCACGGTAGATAAAGCAATTCCTGAACATCGTCAGTATCGTCGTCGTAGATAGAGACGCCCCGAAAGATAAGCAAATTGCCTCAGCGCAGGCGAGGGCCCGCACAAAGCAGTGACCGTATCGACACAGACCCCGCCGCCAACCAAGGAGAGGGGTTGTTCAATCTTCAACACGCTGAATCACCCAACACAGCTTGTGACAGGTGAGAGGGAAGTTTCTTCATCTGAGAGGAAAACGACAACATCGAAATACTGCGTGAACCGGTTGCCCATGCCACGATAAAATGGGGAACTGGCGTGCGTCTGGCACGTACCCCATCGTCCAATACTAACCGTCCCGTACGACCAAACACCGTTACAAAAACCGTACAAAGAGCAAGGCACATAGAAAAAAGGGAACATGACACTGATCCTCGAGGGCGTCTACCTCCTTGCAGTATCCCGGCAAAAAACACAAGAACAAACATGACGCCTCCCTCGCACTTCGACGAAGCCGAATTGACCAATGTACACACCAGCGGGCGAGGAGACCAACACCGAAGGAAGCCTGTTGGAAAGCGACGCGTAGAACGAACACCAACCAAAGGACCACGAAAAAAACCACCGAGGCCACGTCACCTCACCTGGTCATCGACGCCGTCCTCCTTGTCCCGCTCCCTCTCCTCGGGCGTGGCCTCCCGCTCCCTCGCGCGCTGCTCCTCCTCCGCCACGGCGATGGTCTCGTCGTACAGGAGGGCGTCCACTATCCACGAGATGGCACCCATCACCTAACCACCATCACCACCACCGACACAGGCCGTGCGCGTGTCAACCTTGTGGCTTCTCTACACGAGGACGACCAAGTTCCCCGTTACGCCAACAACAAACAGCTTCCCCAATAGAAACGGACCCTCACCAATAAAAATGGAATGTGGCGGCCGTTAGTGAGGCCAGTTGTTATGGAGAAATTTTCCGATTTGGAATCTCGATATTACGCCTTTTACATCCAAACCCCCATGAGGCCGCAGGAGTTCTGCGTGCTTCGTTGGAAAAACTCACAAAAGCGCTTTGGCACTCAGTACTCGCCTCACAGAGACCCGTTTGCATTCAAACCTTCGAGGCCGCGTAGAGCATTGCTGTGAGCCTCTTCGAGCCAAGTTTGGGGAGCTGTGGTGCAGTGTGTGTTCACCACGCTTGGTAAAATAGGAATTCCAATTTGGAATTGCTGGACGATCCGGGTGGGAATTCCTCATGAATTCCAAACTGGAATTGGTTGGAATTCCAAATTGGGAATCGTGAATTTGCTTTCATATCATTGCATACTCACTGCACTCTAGCTGCCCAAACTTGGCTCCGAGAAGATCACAGTAGTGGAGTGTACAGCACTATCGGTTAGATGGCAAACAGGGGTCTGTGAGGCGAGGACGAGCTGACAAAGCGCTTTGGTGCTGTCTGCTTGCTGCCCAGTACGCAGACCCCCTATTTTTGGGGGGGGGGGGAACATTTTTTCCCAATCCCCCGGATTCCAAATGGAAAAATTTCCCCATAACAACGGCCCGGGGTATTTCCAATGGGTTGCCCCCCCCCCCCCCCCCCTCTTCCCCAACCAACCTTAGGCCAAGTCTGCGGAGCTCCGACGGCGGCGAGCGAGGACTTGGAGATGGTGAACGGGTACCGGACCATCTTGAGGAAGGGAACAACGTCGTCTTCGAACCTCCCGGAGGGCTGAGCCACATCATCGTGTCGCGCCCCGTACAGTAACGCCACAGCGGCGACGAACGCACAGCAAGACAACCAGCAGCGAAGCAAGAAGGACGTCACAACAAGTTGTAGCAAACGAGAACAACATCTGGCCGCATACAAAACCACGTCAGCAGAGTCTGCAGCAACCGCTCTGGGAAGGGGGGGCGGAGTCAACCACAGCTTCACGTAACGCGTAGGGGACTAGATATAACGTGTAACCGCGAAAATGAGTGCCCCCCCTGTCCCCGCATCGAGGACCGTTGTGGATACTTTTGGGGTGCTTTCGCCTCTCTCAACAGCAGTGCAGGACCGTTGTGCGGCGGTGCGCGCGACCAACGCGATAGACGCAGCATCATGTCCGGCACGTAAAGACGCCATGGTTACAAAACTGCTGCCGCCGTGTTTGAACAAGGTCGTGGCGTTGCACTCTATTCCAGAGTAGTGCGCTGCTATGTCGGCAAACAAAACCGCCGCACGAAGCACACCGATCACGAACATATCGCACAGTAGGCTGCGTAAGACACCACACACCCTCGACCAATCTTCAAAGCTTGAATACCTCCACGGCGGAGAGAATGCCAACATCAAACATCAAACATCACACATCAAAAATAAAAAATCAAACGGTGCGTTTCCTCGGAAAGCCCTCGACGAGATTAATCCAAAGCCACCGTTGTTGGCACCATCACTGTCGCTGTTACTGCAGGGCAATCGATCTTTCCAAATCGGCCCAGGGTATGTGATATCTCACGCAGCCTACAGCAATACGGTAAGAAGAGCCGCAATTGCTGGCACAGCAGTCGGTACATGCATCTCTTGTCAAATACTTCGGGTCTCAGGCAGCGCGTACAGGAGGCATCTGACAAGGACGAACACGTTGCTTGTTCAGCAGTACTGTACAGCAGCAGTACTGTACAGCAGCAGTGCACCATGCACCGACAAAAACCGGTAGCAACACATGCACAGAGCAGTCGTGCTCGAAGGGGTGCTTTCTTTGTTCGGCACGAACTCCCGCCGCCGTTCTGCATTGTGAAAACAGCTGCCTACAGGAACCGCTGCAGAGGCAATTTGGCAATTTGACCTGTTACGTTATGTAGACGGTACCCCACAGTTGTTGTGAACCGTCGAGGACAGCACACAGCAGTGTCATCGCAGCAGCACGCCGTGGGGTTGGCCAAACCACACTGTAACTTTCTGCAGCACTGCTGTTGCTCAACAGTCCCAACAACAACCACGCCACTGCTGACTGCGGCCGTTGTGTATGTAAAAACGTCTCGAAGTTAGAGTCCCACCACGTCACGAAAGCACATCTTTCTCTCACCCTGTAGTTCGGATCAAGCTGCCTGAACAAGAACCCCGTGATGTTGTTGAAGTCCCTGCCGCTCGGTCGCGTCAGGCTCTTGCTGTTGATGGGCTGATCGTAGCCGTGGTCGGTCAGGTAGGCCGCCAGCTTGTGCAGGGAGGCGTTGAGGTGGGCCTTGTCCATCAACGGCCTCTGGTCCGACCTGCTGCCGCCGCCGGTCCCGAACGAGGTGGTTCGCCGAACTCCGACAGACTTGCGGTCCCCGGCGGTAGACATGCTGGGCCTTCCCGCGCTCTGCCGGGAGGAACCCATGCTCGGCCGCGAGGTGCCCATGCTCGGACGAGACGTGCCCATGCTGGGGCGTGCTCCCATGCTAGTGCGCCCTCCGCCCCCTGCGCCGCCGCCCATGGTAGACCTTGCCGCCGCCGAGCTGGTAGAAATGCTGAATCGCGAGGACGGCTGCTTGGATGACGCCAGGGAGGAGCGTCCCGACGACGTCGTGCCCATGGACCCGCGGGAGTTGAGCGATGCGCTCGACACTGCCGCTAGCGTGGTTCGTCTTCGAGCTGCCATGGTAGCGGTAGGTAGTTTGATGCGTGCGCGCTGCTGTTGGTCTTACCAGCTGCTGTTGGAACCCAGGCTCGCCCGCCTTTCGCTTTCAAACTTTCAATCCACGAGTCCTTTGCGATACGAGTTTCCTTCAAGCCAGGAACCACGGGCACGGACACTAGCGCTCAGCAGCTGCTACACTGCTTATGCAGTTACACAGAACCCGGTTCTCTGCCCTCCACTGCTGGAGAGAGAACGCTGGCTCTCCTGCGTTCTGCCCCGCGTCTACTCTATTCACGTACGTCCAACATTGCCGTTGGTCTTTTTTCTGACCAAGGGCCTCTGCGAGTCTTTGTGGAAATCCCCGTTTTATTCTGCGTCGCCCCCAAAATACCGTTGCGCGAAACAAGTCCAAAGACGCGCGAAGCCTTCAGGTCAAGAGCGGGGCTGAGGACACAGCACGCACCGCGCAAGGGAGGTTTTGGTCTCCAAGGGGTGCAGGGAAGTCCTGGCACGCTGGTGTAGGCAGGTTCGTTGAGACTTCACCCTCTGCAAGCACAGAGAAACCCTACAGCAGTCGCGCGTGTGTCGCCCTCGGGAATCTGCCCGTTGGTACATTCGCAGTATGATGTCTTCGGCGGCGTTCGAGCGCTCCTTGAGAGGGGGGGCATCATCTTCGTCCTCGTCGATGGCTACCTCCTCCTCCTCCTCCTCGACATCCTCGCTGAGGCCCCCCAAGAAGAAGAGCGTCACGTGGGACGACGACGAGGTGCTTCCGGACGACAGCGGCGGCGAATCCGGCGTGCTTCGGAACAGTAGCATCGCCTGCACCAACACCAACAACGGGGGTGTAGCAGCAGCAGCAGCCGGGGCAGGTGCAATCCACGAGCCGCAGAGCTTCGACCACCTCCGAGTGCCGGCCAAGCCTTCGGCGAGCAGCACCCGAATCGTCGACGCGGCCGCGAACCAACACCACCTCGGCGCGGGCTCGGCTGGCGGCGGCGGCGGCCTGTTAGCCTCCGCCCGCAAGAGGGTGGGAGCGGCGGAGCAGACGCGAGGCATCCAGATGGGGCCCCTACGAGTGCGGACCCCGGCCAAACCCAAGCGGTCTCGCGCGGACGCGACGCCCTTCCACGCCCCGTCCTCTTCTTCCGTTCCCGCTCCCAGCGCGGGCGCCACACACAACTACCTCCGGCGCGGCGGCGGCACGGCGGCGGCGGCAGCCGCAGCGGTCGCGTCGTCGCCGACTAATAGATCGTCTCCTACTTCCGCCGCCGGTGCCGCTGCCCGCCGCCCGAGGAGTCCAAGCCTGGCAAGGTCGCCTACTGCCGCCGGTGCTGGCAGATCATCTCCCCCGCTCCATCTAAGTAGAATCCCTCGCGCCGCCGAGCCGACTGCTGCCAGGCCCGGCGCGGCGGCTACACCCGGGGCCGCAGGCAGCACCAGGAATCGCAGCAGCCCCCGTCGGCAGAGGCACATGTCCTCGAGCCAAGCGCTACGCAACGTCGCCGGGGGCAACGGCGAAGACGACGACGACGCCGAGGCTACCTTCATGGAGGACAACAACGGAGATCACGGCGGGGGTGCGGAGGGAGACGGCAACGGCGGTGCGGCGGCCCCTGTGGACGGCCCATCCCCGATGTCTCTCCTGTCGAACACTCTCTCAGCAATCGGCCTCGCGGTCGGGGTAAATTCCTGCGGAAAGCCACCCAGGTCGCCCAGGGCTAGCAAGGGCTCCCCCAGGCTCAGCGTTAGCGGTAGCGGCAGTTCCCCGAGGGTTTCTCCGAGGAGCTCTCCGAGAGCTGCTCCGAGAAGCCGCACGTCGCCGTTTTTCGACACTTCCGGGAGCGGCGGCGGCTGCGAGGGCCTCCCGCGTATGCTGGAAGAAGACGAGGAAGAAGACGTGAGTTTGATGTGTCTCGCCCAGTCGGCGGCACAGTAAGCGCATATACGTGTAGCACAGCAGTTGGGTCGACCCTCTCTTATTGCTTTTGAACGCGTCTCGTGACGTGCAGGCCAGTTTTCGCTGCGCGGCAGCGCGTAGAGCGCCTGGTTGTGCACATGCCTGGTCTGTACCCGCTCTCGCCGTCTCTGTAGACTGCAATGAGAGCAGGGGAAGTCGGGAATTAACATCAACAGCACCTACTGGTTGGGACCACACTTCAGTGTTTCACATCTTATCTAGAGATGCTGTGCATAACTTCCACGCAATCGAACGGCTGTCCTGATGTGTAGGATAACGAGGTCTTCCGAACTCGCTCTGTTGCTGTACCGTGTGTTCGGGATGTTATCAGCCGCTGCTATGCTGTTGGTGCCCAGCCCCTCTCCTCGTCGCCCGCACATTACCTTACCCCGTTCCCCGAACAGAATCACGTGTAGCGTGACCTCGAATGATTGCACCGTGTCCCATACATTAAACATTTATTTTTTTCCCGATCTACACGGCAGTTCCCCCTGGGCGTGACTCGGCAATCTCTGGAGAGCCGATTGGCGGACGCGGCGGCCGCGAGCTCGAGCCTGGCGGCCGTCGCTCACAGGGCCTCCTTGGAAAACATGCAGAACAACAGCCCGGCTACCTCGCTGAGCCCTTTCACCAAGAGCAGCACCACAGTCAGGCGGACCTCGACTAGCCGCTACAACGTCAACGGCGAGGTGGGCGACCCCGCGGGTAGTTGGGACGGGGGCGGTCGGTGTGTCGTGCTTGTTCAGGAGGCAGGTGCTAGCACGACAGCGGTATTTAGTTGGGATTTCTTCAGCGGATCAAATACCGTTGCTGTTGACCCGTCCTTGGGCTATGTATGCCGGAACACGATAGCTCTTACCCCGATTAGCTTCATCTGCCAGGTCAAAGCGGGTCCTTGAAAACGCGATGGCCGAGAGGTTCTTAGCTACACTATGTAGCTGTGCGCGGGCTGCTTGCCCGTGCCGTGATTGTTTTGTTCAAGCGTTTGCCCCGTGTCCTTCCGACACAACTCTTGCTACCCGCGTCCCGTGTAGAGCATACGGGCCACGTTCACCCTCCGACCCCAAGCCCGTCCGTGCCAAAGGAGTCTCGACGGGAGTGGCTGTTGTGTCAGCTACAGCAGTCTACCCAAATCCCACAACTGAAGAAGTAGTCATTTTTCTCTTGTATCGCTGACAAGCACCCCATCACACCATTCCCCTCGTCGTTCGTTCGGCTCTCCCCCCCCCCCCCTCCCCCTCTTTCGATGTACCCGCGCCCCCA